GCCGACTCTTCTCTTCCTTTTCCTCCCTCCTCCCTGCTTCCCACCCTCCCCTCGCCAGTCCCTCTGCCTCCTCTGCAGCCCTGCCGCTGTTGGGTCGCCGGGCTCACAGCGATTGATTGATTGATGTTTAATTTCCTGCCAGGCGGGGCCCCCCCTCCCCCCCGCAACCTCCCCAGTCCTCCTCCCCGCCCCCCACTCTCCTCCTTCAATGCGGTGGACCAGTCTGGCTCGGGTTTAGATCTTTCCCCCTCAACCCCCATCCCGAAATAACCCAGAGACTTCCCCTACCCCCATCCCAAATTATTATTTTGAAGGCGCTAGATCTGGGGACAGAAAGGGGGAGGGGGAGAAATCGGAAACCGAGGACAACCCAAAAGGACTCACTTTGCCTGATGACTCAACGCAACTAATAATCATCTCCCTCTCACTGTGTCTCTCTCTGCGGCTTGTCAGTGAGTCCGGCTCGGCTGCTAGCAGCGGCGGCCGAGAGAGGAGAGGCTGGAGGTGACAGCTTGGGCGGCCGACGCTTTCATCCCGCGTGCGGTCCCAGGTCCCTGCGCCTTCTCGACTCTCGGTGGCACCGGCCCTACGGCTCCGGCCGCGCTTCCTCGCGAGCTAGCAGCCCTGCGAAGCTGCAGCCCCGACCCGCCTCTGCCGCCTCCCAGTTCTCAGCCCTTTCTCTCCAGAACCCGTCTCCTTCCCGAAGGTGTGAAAAGGCTTTTCAGCCTCCTTCTCTCTTCTCCCCTCCTCCGCCGCCTCCTCCCCCGCTCACTCGGGTGCCCCTTTACAGGAGCCCTCCTTTTCCTCTCCTCCTCCCCCTACCCACCCACCCCCCCTCCATCATCATCATAACAACCATCTCCGCACTAAGAAGACACCCTGACCCAGGACCTTAAACGTTAGGACCTGGGGAAGAGGAAAGGGAAAGGAGTAAAAAGAAAGGAAGACTAGGAGAACACTGCAAGGCAAAGCACCAGAAACTTTCCACCCTGGATTCTCTACTTTTGCTCCATGGACAGAGCCCCAGCCAGCCAAGTTACAGAAAAACCGTGAGCAGTAAGTACGCAGGGCGAAGGCGCCCGCGCCAAGCTCGGGAGTTCGGGGAAGCCCCGGGTCCGGCTAAGTTCCCTCCCTGCAGCTCTCGCCCTCTCGGACAGCGCAGCCGAGGGAGTGCGGGCAGAACCTTCACCCGCAGCCCTCCCGCTCCGTCTTTACATCTCTCTACTCACCTCTTCTCTGCCACCCCCACCTTGTCGCCTTGGGCCGTGGCGACGCGGCTTCTCCCACGGCGAGAGCGCCCACGAGGATTCCCAGCGCACTTTGTTGTGCCGGGTTCCTGCTTCTCAGGGATGTCAGTGACAATGTGAGTGCCGTTTCATCAGGTGTTTCCCCCTCCTCTGCCCCCCAAAAATCCAGGGTGCCGAGATCTGCGGGTTCCGTGAAGTGCGCGCTGTCCGCCAAACGACCCAGAGGAAAACTTTTGGAGAGATTTTAAAATTGGGGTTGACGAAGGCTTCTCCTGCACCTAATAATTTTAAATGCTTTTGCTTTTGTGTTTTGTGATGATGTGCTTTTAAAAAAATCACTTAAGATTGGATGAAGATAAGAACGTTCCAAAATAATAACGCTTGTAGCCCCCGCCCTTGTGGAAGGTTATTCTGGAGGTTATTCTGATGAATACTTCCAAGTGTTTCTGGATGCTATTTAATGTGGAATTAGGGTTGATTTTGTGCAAAGTGTTTGTGTGTCCCTGTGTGTGCTTGGTAAAGGTAAAAAGCGGGGATTCAAGGGGTCTTCTTGCCAGGCCTTTGCCTGCTGCCCCGCGATTCACAGCGCATTTATCACGTGGTTAATTCGATTTCTTACCGAGTTGTGTACATCCCATCTCGAATGGATGAGATGTCTTCTTATAAAGTTCTCTCTGCCGCAACCCTGACCCCTAGACAGCAAGGCCGTTGTACCCGAGAATGGTTTATGCCAACCCTGTCCCAATGAATGGACTGCTTCTGGGCGCCCCGGGCGAGAGGCCGGACGTCGTCACCGAGGGCTAACTCTTGGGGAGCAGCGAATGGGCAGAGTCTCAACACCCCAAGTTCTGGGCTTCCTTTGAGCCGCCCAGTGTAAGGTTGGGACCGCTTCGCGGTTCGGGCCCCTCGGGCAGCGTGGGAGGAAGTTTGTGTGGCAGTGGTGTAGCGCTCTGCCACTGGCCTGAACGTCTATCACGTGTGTGAGCGGTTTTCCCTCTTTTTTTCCCTCCCCCTTCCCTCCCCCCCGCCCCCTCCCTAGGTCCCTGCGCGTTTTATTGCGACCTGCCGGTGGGAACTTTGTCTCCGAGTCGGAGCAGCATGGAGCGGCGGAGCGAGAGCCCGTGTCTGCGGGACAGCCCCGACCGGCGGAGCGGCAGCCCCGACGTCAAGGGGCCTCCCCCGGTGAAGGTGGCCCGGCTGGAGCAGAACGGCAGCCCCATGGGAGCCCGCGGGAGGCCCAACGGCGCCGTGGCCAAGGCCGTGGGAGGTAACAGCCCGGAGCAGGGAGGCGCGCGCAGCCCGCGGCCGGGTGATAAAGGCCGGGTGTCAGGGTTCAGGTTGATTAGTCGCTGTCGCGGTGTAGGATTACAGGAAGTGAATTCCAGGTTGCCAAATAATGCCCCCGTCGCCTCTCATCTGCAACTGGTAGCTTCATCCCGAGTTAAAACAAGAAAGCGGTTTACCCGGAGGGTGGCATTTTTTGGGCACTTTGCCACTGTGTGCTGAGGTGTTGGCAGGTTTATGTCACAGCCAGCTAACTGTTTCTAGATTTTCCTAGAGAGCTTTTCAGTGATTTAACTATTTTGCCTTGCCTCAGAGTATCTGTTGTAGGGATGAAGTTTAGGTGCGTTCGCTTTTGTGGACTGATGTTTAATGCTCAGCCTAGTACTGGAGCAAGAGTGTTGGTGTTACTTTGTAGTTGGGACAGTGCTTCGAGACAAATGATTAACAACTGGGAATATTTCCAGCCACATTTCAAGTGGGAAATTAAGAATCACCACGAATCTGTCAGGGCCTTAGAGGCTTTAATGCTACCTTTAAAAAAAAATAAAGCTTAAAGTCATATGCATTCGTAGCTTTGTTTTGGATTATAGCACTACAGGTAAAAGTAGTGTAGTGGTCTTATTGGCTACATGCTGATTCCCTTTCCAGGAATTTAATATTACTTAAAGAAAATCTCTTGTAGTTTTTACTACTTAAAAAATCACCTTCTTTTAAAGTGGCTAGGAAAAGTAATTTTATAAAATAAAGATATGCAAGAAATGTAAACCTTATTAAAATATTTTTGAGGTTTATATGCAATTTGCTTAGTTGTTTTGACATAAAAAATGCACAGTTCTACATGGCATGTAGTTTTTTGTGTGCTTGAGATAAATTACTAGTTTCATTTTTTGTGACTTCTAAAGGTTTTTTTCCCTAATATTTTCACTAACAGACTATTTAATTTAATTCTTATATTAGCTTGCCTGAGATGAAACAAAACCCTGGCAAAAGTTAGTGATCAGCTCCAATTCCAGGTTCTAAATAGCCATAGAATGTATTTTAAAGTAAAGTCTTAACTCGAAATATCCACTCCCTTGTAAAGGCATTTTATAAATAGACAGCGGACACTTTACAAAAGAATAGGTTTTTATTTTTACTTACTTTGCTATTACTATTTCTTCGTGATAGACACAGAGGATGGTTTGCCTCAGTCCCTTATATTAATCATCTCCCTTGAGAAGCATTCATTCTCGCGGTATTTTAAAGCTTTAACAAAATTATTTGGCTGTAGACTGTGGCTTATATATCTTCCATTTTAGGGACTTGAAGATATACTTTTAATAAAGCAAAAGAACTTGGTAGTTCTGTGACCCACTTTTTAGAAATGATGTTTATTAGTATCTTGTCTCAAGACTAAAACAATAACCTTGGACTTTTCATATCATTTTTTGGTATATACATATAAGAAAGAAAAATACGTGGTGAATAAGGTGGAACTAAATTTGAGATGATATGATAAGTGCTGGTAATATTGGATTGAAAAACTTTTGGAAATCCTTGGAGAGGACGTGTTCTCAAAGTGGCCTTATGCATTAAGAACAAAACCTGGGGGGACTGAAATTTTGGTTTCTTTCTGAGGACCTCATAAAACTCACTAAATTGAAAGAAGTCCCTAAATGTTTTAGGATGTAATAGTTAGCAATTGTACTTTCCTAAAACAAGGTTTTTTTTCCCCTATACTGTATAGAATTATGAAAGAAACTGCCTAATTTTCTTGACAAGGGACACTTTCAGTGTAAAACAGTTGCTTTTCATATTTTCTGAGAATATAATTAACACTTGACCACTTACTGTAAATTTGATATAGACAAATATTATTAAGTCTTGGTAAGGAATAATAAATTTGTTTCAACAAGCTGGTTTAGTCATTTTTTCTGAGCTTTGACTTAATTTAGTAATATCAAAGGTCTTATTAGCTGCTTCCCAAACTGGAAATAAAGATGACATTATTTTGTCTCAATAAGTACCCTTTATAATGGTTAGTAATAAAGTGGTTAAAATAGTTTACATATGGTGGACTTTTAAAGATTTTTTTTAAAGAAAGGTTTTACTCTATAGGATGTAATAGATTGTTTGGAAAGATTTTAATTTAGAAAGCTTTAAAATAAAACAACTAAGAACATAAAATTTTGCTAGTACAAATTTTCATATTGAATGTTAATGATTATTTTGTGGGTTTAAGTTTATATAGTTTCCAAATGTATGTTGAGATGTTAATAATTTTTTTTCTTTTAATCATGTGTATAGATTGGAGAAAGGAAAGCCTTTTAAAAATACACATTCTAAATTTAAAATATATTTCTATTTAGTGGTTCTTTTATAATTGAAAGAATTTTTTTTGTAACATAGAGTAAATATAAAATAGATTATATTTCTATTGCCCTGCCTCCTTTTGTTTAAATTTTCTTTATGAAGCAATATGATAAGCATAGATAGCTACAAAAATATTTATAGCTCTGCATCATTTATTACCATTTTCAGATATATCACAGTATTGTCAATGTTGTAAAGATGGCTATTACAATATATATTTTAAAAACAGAGCTCAAAATTTGGGAGGATGTATTTGTCACTCTGTAGTGATTCTCTTTAAGTGCTTTCCCCCTAAAATAGGGGGAATCATTAAGTTAATTGGTTGCCCAATAAAGTGGCAATTTATCTTACTGCTTTTGATAAGTAGGTGAATAAATGTTTCTAAATGCATTGGTTGCAGTAGTAATTCTGTTGCTGCCGTTCTGCTTTTTTGGGGAGAGAAAGTTTTTTTTTTTTCATTAAAAAATATATTATTTTTCGTGTCTGGATTTAACTAGTTGAGGTTGGTAGAAACACTATCACAGTCTTCAGGGTTGTGTTTTTAATAGGGGACTTAAAAGTTAGTGTGTTGTTTACAATGTGGTTAGCTTTAGACGATTATTAGAAAGTAGATCAGTTTTGCTTTGTATTTCTAACACTTTCTAGGATATTTTGCTCTTATCTAAGCAGTGTGTTTTAAAGCATGTATGTAATAAAATGTAAGTGCTCAGATGTGTATGACAGTCAGCTTTTATAGAAGGTCGTCAGGAAAAAAAAAGGCTAATATCTCTTTAAAAAACATATGAAGGCTGGGAGAGAGTTTAGAGCAAGCAAGAGCACCATGGTGTTGACAGCTTTATATCCCTGCTGGGTAACATTCACTTACTAGAATTGGCATCCCCTCTCAGCTAGTAATTCACTCCATAAGGATTTTGAAAAAGGATGATTAATGGTGGGGAAATTTATATTTGTGAAATTGTTGATTAAAACTTACAGATCTATTTGAAGATTTAGAAGAAAAGATTATTAAGGATGATGAAAATAAGAATCAGATGATCCTTTTATCACCATTAGCATAAGTACCTAAAATGTTCTGCTGTATGTAATGCCTCAGCCACGCAACCTACAGCATAAAATGAAAGTGATGCCAGTTAAGTTTCCAGAAGAAGCAAGGCATCCTGCTTTTCTCCTGGACTGCTGAAAGGCGCTGGCCAGTTGTGTTCTAATAGCAATAAATTACTCTGCTTCATTCATTGTTAACATAAGCATTTTCATTTTTTAATGTTTGGCTTAAAGAAGAACTTTTAGACAGCTTTATTTAAACTGAATGAACAGCGCTTGAGTATACCAGATGGTGTATTTGCTGATAGGAAGCATTAAACATCAGAAATCTTTTTGATATTTTTCATTTTCCTATGAATTTTCATTTTTTTTCTTTTTGGTCGTAAATGTTCAAGAGTTCAGGGGAAAATGTTTAAACACTGGGGATGTCTTGCTTTTTTTTTTTGAAAAAAATTTGCTCTTTTTGGAAGAAGAATTAGCCTTTAAAATAACAACTTAATTTTGTTGAAGAATTGTCTGTTGAAGTTTTATTATAACGAGTTGACCTAAAGTAGACCTAGTCTTCTGGCCACCAGGCAGCCCTTTCAAGAACGTAACTGTCTTACTGCAAGGGGTAAAAAAATCATGCAATACACGCTGATGTACTCAAATAGGGAAGCAAATGTGATCATAATTGTTCAGGGCCTCAGTTAGAGCAGAACATTGTCTACAACAACAGTTAGTTTAATTGTCTGCAAGTAGAACATTTCTTTTAGATTAAGAGTAAAAGAAATGCTGTTCAGGTCTGGTATTGTCACCGTATTAGCAGTTGTCGAGAGACGTTTTACTTTTTGAAAGAAGTGCAGATTGGAAAGAGTATAGGTGTTGACCTATTGAAATGTATAAAATGTTTAGAAATATGAAATATATTGTCAACTTGGGCAAAATGAAGAAAACTCATTAAATTCATTTTAGCCGAGGATGAACACCATTATGCTTGTATGGAAGATTCATTATTTCTTTAAAAGAGAAAAGACTGTATTTCCCTCTTCCACTCCACTTTTTTTTTTTAAGGGTTTAAGATCTTTTAAATAGAATGAACTTAGGCTTTAGGGTCATCCAACAATCTAGCATGTCCTCTGTAGTTTTGCTGAGGTAGAAAAATAGCCCTCTCTAAAGTGTTTTTAGTCCTTGGCCTGTTATTAAAATAAAGATATACTTGGTTAAAAAAAAATATATGCAATGGAACATACACATTAAACAGAACATAGGGTATCCACCCCTCAAAGTCCTGAGCATAATTTGATGTTTTGAGTAATTTTGGAAGCCTTATATTCCATCAGCAGAAACCCACTGACCATTATATATTCAAGATCATCTGCAGTGAAATGTGTGTATGTGTGTGTATTGGAACTACATGGATGTCCCTTAAGGCATCTGTTTTTTAACCCCTGCAGGAAATATCTTTCCCAGTGGGTTGTGACTAACAGTATCTGCCTGTACATCTTCGATATACTGTGTTAATTCTTCTCTCCTTTTGTGAATATGTGTATGTATTTTGCCCATCTATCTCTGTTGGGAGGGAAACAGACTAATCATCATTTGTTAGAT